ATATGACACAACTGGGCAGCAAAGGAAAACATAGGGTAAGTTCCTCTTTGTCTGTGGCCTTAGGTCCAGGCAATTCTTCCCTCACCCTCACGAGGCTTACATTTTGGCCCGAAGTATGAAATATCATTACCTTTACCTTTCATAGCTTCAGCTTACGATAAACGGTGGGTCAGCAGTTACATGACTGCCCTGGAATGATTTCACACTGCTGCCTGCCGCGCCACACATGCACAGGGTGACCAGCTAGAGCCAATGACTGTGGAAGCAGCTTCTGGTCAGACCACACAGCACAGCCACTGCAGACAACTCTCTTTTCTGTTGTCTCTGGTTCAATCTCTTCATGTTTCTTTTCATTTTTTTTTTCTTCAAGAAGACAAGGGTGTCTCATTGAAGCTTCAGGGAAATCACTGAATCTTAATGGAATCTAATTGGCTCCCATGGTTATCTCAAAGGAGCTCTGGTCATAAAAGTTAATTAAATTAGATTCATTTGCATATTCAAGACCATTCTCTTCCCTCACTTTAAAACCTGGGAAAGAGAAGATGTGTCCCTCCTCCCTGGATAGGACATGCAACAACGTCCAAATCGTTTTCTTTGTATGCCTGAGAATTAGAGTAGTGGGCTATTTTTTTAATCCTCTTGCCTAGCTTGTGTCCTCCTTTTTTTTTTTTTAGGTATATGTCAGTGCAAGAGTTAAATTGGTATGCGTTGCAGGTCTCGCTTTGAAATATGGAACTAGTCCTTTATAGAACGAGCTTTGCTGTGCTTAAGACTGAAGTATTTTCTAAACAAAAGGTGAATTCAGAATGTTCAGTAGAAAAAGGAGCTAGCAACATTTACAGCCACAGGACTAGCTAGAAGCATCTCCCATTTGAGTGTGTGCTTGCTTGCATGTTCATTGGCAACAACCACACCCATAGCTTTCTTAGGGGGTCAGAGGAATGGAATGATTGGACCCTAAGAGGATATCTAGTCTACCCAGCTGCCGGTGGTAGGCCTAAAATAACCAGCTGAAATGGAACTCTGGCCTGTTTTCTGAAGCCTCAAGGGAAGGCTTCCTCCTCTATATAACGACCCATTTTTAACAACACTTAATATTACCAGAAAGTGTTCCCTTGTGTCAAACCTATATCCCCTCTGCTGCTGACTTACTGTTTATTCTCACATGCATGCAACGCTGGTGTGGGTGATCAAAGCCAGTCCCTCCACCCTGCTCATTTGTACATGGCCTTGGAATAGCAAGTGGATATTGATATTGGTGCCGTGCCCAGATCAGTCTTTACCGATTAAAGGCCATGTCTGCCCTACTTCCGCTGGCCACTCTTACCTGTTAATGCAGGTAAAGGTATATCATTAACCTATTCTCCCTGTCACGAGAAGACAGGTCTGATTTATCCTTAGGGTTTTTATTTCTTTAATGAACACAAATGTGCCATCCCAGTGCTAAGTTTTCAGGAAACAGTGGTGGACAGGAAAGACTAAGACGCTGCCCTCAGGCATGGAATTCGGACATAATACAAGTAATTACAAGTGAGGTGAGAGTTACAAAAAAGTGTAGGTTACCAAAAAAGCACATAACAGTCTGAGCTAACAGAGACTGGGGGGACAGGAAAGCCTTCTGGATAAAGTGATGCTTCACCTGAAACCTGAAGGTTGAATAGGAAGTATCAAAGTGGAGAAGAGTATTCATGACAGAGGGAATGGCATATGCAAAGTCCCCAGCAGGAGAAAGAGAGTGGCCTGGTGAAGGGCTGGTGCTGAAATTCAGACAGCAGGACAGAAGCTGTGGAATCATCAGACCTCATTCATGGCCGGTCCCTGCTCACCTATGGGAGGATTAAGCTGGGACTGACACCCAGTGTCCTAGTCCTGGCTTTTGCAGTTTGAGAGCTTGGGGCCACTGATGCTTAGTGACAAGGGTCAGGCACCCAGAGAAAAAGTGGAAGGAAAAAGGCCCCACTTGAGCAACCAGAGGCCTTGATGGCTCTGAGGCTCCTGTGAAGTAGCATAGCATAGCACAGTTGTAGCAGTCAGCTCTCAGGGGAGTGACATGGCTGCACATGTAGTCAGCAAGTCACAATTTCAGCGTCTCCAACCCCTCATCTGGAAGATGAGGAGTTTAGGTATGGACCCTCCTCACTCACATTCTAGAAGCACTCAGCAACAATAGTGTCTATATGGTTCATTCATTCTTAAGTGGGTCACGTTATTACTAAGCTAGCCTACATTTGGGAGTAGGAGGAGGAGTTATTCAGACAGCCAGCAAGCCTCTCTCCAATTCACTTTTTTTTTTTTTTTTTTGGTGGGGGCAGGGGTTAATTTTTTGTTGTGGTGGTGGTAAAATATGCATAACATAAAATTTACCATTTTAAACACTTCTAACTGCACAATTCAATAGCATTAATTACACTTGCAATTTTGTAAAGCCCTCGCCACTATTTCCAAAATTTTTCATTCCAATTCACTTTTTTTTTTTAACAGTGAGGATAGTTTCTCTTTTTTTTCCCAGTTTAATTGAAATATGATTGACATACAACATTATATTAAAGGTATACATCATAATGATTTGATAGTGCATATGTTGAGAAATAATTACCACAATAAATTTAGTTAACTCTAATTCACTCTTTTTAAAAAGATTTATTTATTTTTAAAGAGAGAGAGAGTGTGTGAGGATGTACACAAACAGGAGGAGGGGCAGAGGAGAAGGGAGAGAAAGAATGTCAGATAGACTCCGTGCTGAGGACAGAGCCCAATACCAGGCTCCATCCATCCCAGGACCCTGAGATCATGACCTGATCTGAAACCAAGAGTTGGATACTTAACCAACTGAGCCACCCAGGTGCCCCAACTCCAGTTCACTTTTAAACAAGTCTGGGCAAGTTCTACAAGTGTCCTCATAATCCATGAACCTGACCATCTATCATGACTCCTGACTTGGATCTTGAGAGATCTGATACTGCTCTTAAAAACAAATGATGCTTCTTTCTCCTCGTATAAAAATGTGTACAAAGGGTAAAAAGAAAGAGTAAACTGCTAAATAGTTAAATCCTCTCCTTCTGCTACTAGGTAAGTCACCTTGTTCAAGATCATAGGGCTTAATATTGCAAATTTACTAAACCCCATCTATGTACCTAGCACTAAGCTAGTTGCTTTGCACGTGTCATTTGACAGGTAGATAATATTTTTCCCACTTTACAGATAAGGGAATAGGCTATGGTGAAACCAGATTTTCAGCCCAAATCAGTCTGCTTTTAAGATTTGGTTCACCCCTCCATACTTCGTTACTTCTCCAAAGGCAGCTATAGGGGGAGACCCGAAGAGGGCATTTTGAAAAATGAAGAAGAGCAAAGAAAGGCCAAAATTAAATTTGAGCTCATGCTTAACCTACTCAGATTTGTTCTGATTGGTTTTGTCACCCAAGTTCTAGCTTCTCCAATTCAGTCTTTCTTATCTCTCTGGCCCATGGAATTGATGGTATTTACTGCTCCACTTTTCAACAATAGTATGTGGCTCAATTACTTAATTAAGAAAATCCTTAGAGCATCAGGGTGCTTAGCAGGCAAAAGGGGTTAAAAGCCCAAAGAAGGGCTGAGCTCCCTGCACCTCAGGTTGGCACAGAAGGCCAGGAATAATGAAGCCAGTTGAACAGCCCACCCTGCAGAACCCTTGGCTGTGAGTTTTAACAGAACAGAAAATAAACATTGAGACAAGGGAACTGTCAAGTAAATTAGTATTAAGAGTTCAGATTTTGTTTTCTTTTTCCCTTACCAGGTGTGCTGTGAGAATTCAAAGCATAAGGAAGGAGAATGGGTTAAAAATAGTATAACAATAGCCAGTGTGACAATAGCATGATAAAAAAAACATCGCGAATTATACAAGAGGACTCTAGAAAAAAAACTTAAAAGGAATAAAAGCAGAGGCAGGAGCAAGCACACTAACACCATGGGATCTTAAAAGCCTCAGAGTGAAACCATAGTAGGATGTCATAAAATAAAAAAGAAATACCGGCTTCAAAAGTATGAAGATTTTTAGGGACACCTGGTGGCTCAGGCAGTTAAGCATCTGCCTTGGGCTCAGGTCATGATCTCAGGGTCCTGAGATGGAGCCTCCGCATCTAGCTCCCTGCTTCTCCCTCTGCCCCTCTCCCAACTTGTGCGCATGCACTCTCTCCCTCTCTCTCTCAAATAAATAAAATCTTTTTTTTTTTAAGAAGTATGAAGATTTGTAAATAGAATTGTTTGTCCCTTGGAGCGCCTGGGTGGGTTCAGTGGGTTAAGCCTCTGCCTTCGGCTCAAGTCATGATCCCAGGCTCCTGGGATCAAACCCTGCATCAGGCTCTCTGCTCAGCAGGGAGCCTGCTTCCCTCTCTCCCTCTGCCTGCCTCTCTGCCTATTTATGATCCCTCTCTCTGTCAAATAAATAAAATCTTTAAAAAAAAAAAAGAAGAAGAAGAAGAAGAAGAAGAAGAAAGAAAGAAAGAGATGTTTGTCCCTCAGGGTGAAGTCAGACATCATTATCTTGGCTTGCGGGGCCCTCTATGCCTTGCCTCTCCAGCCTCATCCCTTCTGCCACCATGAACAACTCTCTCAAGAACTGCTTGTTCTCTCTCGAAGGCCTCGCTTCCCTTCTCTGACATGTCAAAGTAGGTCATATTTCCCACTTATACCTTCTGACAGCTCCATGCTAACCTTATTATCCTTGTAAATATTGCTCAACATCTACTTTCCTGCTAGACGATCTGCCCTCCCAGGGTAGGTCCAACTCTACCTTGTTTATTGCTCTATTGCCAACCCTATCACTGTTATGAATAAATGAATGAATGTTGGTGGCCATTTAGGTTTCCAACTGCCTAACTTCATGACATCTGAAGAAAACAATTGCTTCTTTAGTTCATGTAGCATGTCAGAATTTAACAAGAGAAGCAGAACCAGCATAAAGAGTTTTTCGTTTTTTAAAAATCTATCCATTCAGTTATTACAAGGAAGTGCCTTACCCAGATGGAGGAACCGGTTAAGCAAGCCTAGTATCCACAGGGCGGGCAGTCAGAAAGCAGAGATCACAAACAGGCTAGGACCTCAGAAGAGTGAGTGTGATGATGAGAATATCCTGCAGAAGCCAGGGCTCTCAGTCTGGAGTTGAGTACACACACTTGGCCAGGCGTCAGTGAAATCGAATGAGGATCCAGCTGGAATGGAAAGCAATTTCAGGCCCAGCTGCTGCTTCACACCAACAAGGCAAATCAGCAGATCAGCAGCACCAACATCAGTTTTGTCCCAGGGTGTAGAAAAAGATTTTACAACTTTCCTTCTGCTCTGTGTGTAGACTCTCTAGCATCACGGAGGGCTTAAACCCTCTTTTTTAAAAGCTTTTCTCGGGGGTGAGGGGGAATTGGATGAAGGTGGTCAAAAGTACAAACTTCCAGGTATAAGATAAATAAGTACTGAGCTGGCAATGTACAGCATGTTGACTTTGGTTAATACTGCCATAGGAGATATTTAGAAGTTAACAGAGTACATCCTAAGAGTTCCCATTGCAAGAAAAAAAGATTTTAATTTTCTATATGTATATGAGATGGTGGATGTTAAGTAAACTCACTGTGGTAATCATTTCTCAGTATTAATCATACCATCATGCTGTGCTCCTTAAACCTTATACAGTGCTGTGTGTCAATTATATCTCACTGAAACTGGTGGGATTTTCTGCTGATTAAATCACCTGGAACAATATCCCTTCGCTTAATTTAAAATCAGCTGAGTAGGGACTTTTATTACATCTGCAAACTCCCTTCACAGCAGCCCCTAGATTGGTGCTTGGTTGAATTGGGAGTGGGGAGGGGGTGTGTTACCCATTAGTTGCTGCCAAGCTTTCAGCTGATGGTTTTTACAGAAGAATCTTCTTTGTAGCTCACTATAGCCAGGAACCTACTAGACAAGGAATTCAGGAGGATGTAGTTCAGCCTAGCCTCATGGACACATCCCGAAGCCATCACAGGTCACATCGTAGGACAACTATCTCCATAACCTCCAGTCTGACCCTGAGTGAAAGAAATTAGTGACAGAAACGAGCAACATTCCTAAGTGGGAAGGGCCACCTTGCTAGGAGAAGCAGGGCTGACCCTGCGGAGGCAAAGCAAATGAGTAACTCCAAATTAGCTTAGAGCTAATCACCTTAGCAGAGCATGTTCTCAAGAGTAGAGGAGGTATAAGGAGCTCTGCGAGCCAAAATAGGGGGTGGTAAGAATAGATTTCTATCAGAAGCCGGGGAAACCCCATTCCAGGGTTCCAAGATGGAATATAGGTGTTCATCAATGAAAGTTTGTGAAGGATTGAATCAATCAACCTTCTAACTCATCTATTCAGAAGAGGTTAAGACCCGATGTGAAACTGTGGTGCTAAGACACACTGCCGTGACCTTAATGGAGTGTTCCTAGGGCAAAGATCAAACAGCTCCAGCTATAGGCCAAGAGTTCTCTTAAGAAAGAGCCTTTGAAAAAAAAAAAAAGAAAGAGCCTTTGAGGGCGCCTGGGTGGCTCAGTGGGTTAAAAAGCCTCTGCCTTCAGCTCGGGTCATGATCCCCGGGTCCTGGGATCGAGTCCGGCATCGGGCTCTCTGCTCCGAGGTGAGCCTGCTTCCTCCTCTCTCTCTCTGCCTGCCTCTCTGCCTACTTGCCATCTCTGTCAAATAAATAAATAAAATCTTTAAAAAAAAAAAAAAAAAAGAGCCTTTGACTGAGAGCTATCAAATGGGCTGTCATCGGTCCCTTAATGGGTACTAGATACTTTTTTGTTGCCATTTCTGCATTGCCAGACACACACACACACACACGGGACTACAATAGACTTTGCACAGCTTCCGGTACAAAGTTAAGAATGAGAACTGAACATCTAGTTGACAGTGACAATCTGGTAATCACAGAAGCCCAGGTATGACTTATCTTGAATAACCAGTGATTGAATTATGTGCCTTTAAGCTTAGCCTATACCAAATGCCTCTGGGAAAGGTTTAAAAAAAAAAAATTCAGAATTTGCTCTCTGGCTTAGAGTGATTGAATTATGCTGTGGGCTATGGTAAATTCATTGCAGTGCTAAAAATAGATGAAGGGCAGTTCAGTAACCCTGGGGAATTTTATCTGCCTCATTCATGCATCCAGAGATGCTGCTTACGTAAAGCCAAAATAGGCACAACCAAAAGGGCATCGAGGGAGATTGATCAAAGTTGATGATTCAAATAGAAACCAAGAAAACAAGTAAGCAATTAACGGCAAAGATCAGGACTAGTCCCGTTGCAAAGATAGGAGCAAGAAATGGGCCTCTGAAGATAATACAGTACCTTAAACTTTCTAATAGTTTCTAGAGGCAAATTTAGAAACCTCTTTCCAGAGAAAGCCACAGCCTCCAGCTGTTCTTTCTCTGCACATTCAGGCATAGACCCTCATCACAGCCTCTCGGGGATTTACACTTCACACTGGCACAGCACACTCATCATCACTCCTAGAAATACTCCTCCTTGACCTCCAGGCAGAGCACCAGAAAGTCAATTAAGAACAATTTTAAAATGTTACTCGAGCAACTCAGAGATAAGCAAAGATACCGACAAGTTCCAGGAGTTCCTTTTGGCCAAGTTTACCACCGAGTTATTTTATTAGACAAGTGGTTTTTAAAGGAAATCATTTATCATAAGGTTGCAGGAAAGGTCTGTTCCTGGTCTCCAGCTGCCTGTGGAAAGAGTCTAGAATTGGCTGGAGTAGCTCTAAGAGGCTGGAAATTCAGTTCATGGTCAAGTATGTCAGTGTTTTAAAACATTCTAACAAACCCAACAGCACCATCTGTAAGGACTGCGTAATTTGCAAAATTTCTTGCTAAATCAGCTGGCCAAATGCAAAGCCAATTGCTTTGGCGTCGGTACAGCAGCGTGCTGCAGCCGGGAAGTATTTTAAGTGGATAATGAGTAGTCTCTTCTCTCAATGACTATATTCAAATAACTTCCACTGCCTAAAATATGCAAAGTTCCTAGTCAAGGCTGCCTTAGGAACTTCTGCCCCCTAACTCAGAGTTTGAGTCTTTAGGGGTTGGGAGGGGGTTATTAGATCCCCCTTCTCTATTGATATTGAAGAAAGCAATTGCTAAGCAAAGAGCTCAGACCCTTCCCAGCTCTCACACATACACAACAGCCCACATACACACACAGAAAAAACTCAAAAACACAGCTCACATTAGTCCTGAGCTAGGCAAGGCTTATATCTACTGCAGCCAAGAATAGCAGCCAAGTCTTTCATTTACTTAGTTACAGTATCTCCTCTAAAATTATTAATTATTTGGGTACTTCAAATGCCCTTTTTTTTAAATGAGGAAACACAGGTAGAAAGTATTTCTCTGCCTTTTTCTCTTGAGAAACATAGTTCTTCCTTGGTTATCCATGGAAAATGTTCTCTCTCTCTCTCTCTCAAGTAGCAAAACAGATGGAAGTTCCTTCTGTGAAGAAACCAAATTCTATACTCTTTATATCCAACCACCATTACCTCCATCTCTATAATTTAAGAAATCAATAGACATGCAATAAATGTTTGATTGTTTGTTTATTAAGTGAGTTGCTCCCCCAAGTTACTTTAGAATCTTACCGCTCAACCCACAGTTCACAGACAAGAGCACCAGCATCATGAGCTCGTCAGAAATACAGACTCATACCCCAGACTTCCTGAATCAGAATCTGCATTTTAATGAGATTTCCAGGAGACTTGTAAGCACATCAAGGTCTGAGAACCATTTTCGAATACATCGTGATTCGTACACTCTTACTCTTGGTCTGGTAAGGTCTGTCACTCCTCAAAGATCATTTCTTGCCATCGGGGACACTTCCATGGAAGCAGTGAGTAATAACTGACTTTATTGGGCACTAACTGTGTGTCCGAAGTAGAGGACACATAGTTAACATGATGGGAGTTACACAGCTAGAAAAATGGGGAGGTAGATCAGAACTTTATCTAGCTTCCAGGTCCACATTTCCCATCATTGGCCTGTAAAGCCAGGTGGCTACCAGCAATGTTACAGAACTCTCCCCTCTTCTGCAGGACATGTGACATCCCTGTCTTCCACCCACTAAATGCAGTATCCTGATGCCCTAAGAACCACCCCCCCCATTTCTAGATACCCATGGGGGTGGGCCTAGCTCACACAGAACCAGTGTCTTGTGGCTTTCATCTAGTGATTTTGAGAAACTAGTTTTCTGGGACTCGTTTCTTTCTTCCAATGTTTGATCTATTTATAAAATTCTTTGACATTTTACATTTTGTTTTTCATTTCAACAGAAGGCTATAACTATTGAGTATCTACTCTATGCAGTCTAAAAGATAAGGTCCCTGCCTGCCAGCAGCTGACCATCTGGTTAGGGAAATCAGGCCTTAGCAATTCAAGGCTCTCCATGATTAAGTCTAGAAATGACAACAACAGCAACAACAAAAAGACATAGATTCATATTCAGACTTTATACTATTTATTACTGGCAAGTCTTCTCTAAGCTTCATTTCCCCCGTCTGTAAAATGGGGGCATTATTAAACAATGCATGTAAATTGCCAACACAGTACCTAAAGTATGACACTGGCTTAGTAAATATTAGCTACCCTTATCGCTAACCATCTCCCCCAACCAGTGTAGATATAGGACAAAAATGAGATGGAGAAAGGATGTGCATAAGGGAAGAGACAGCATTCTAGGCAGGAGGCATAGGCTAAGCAAAAACTTGGTGTCAGGAGTGAGCATGCCTAAGGAAGAAACTGTACGGGACTCACAAACTTGACGAAGTAAAAAGTTCACGTCAAGGAGTTATGACAAATGAACATGTGGAAGAAAAAACATGAGTTTGAATTTGCACAGAATCTCCTGGAGATTTCTGAATTTCTTTAGTACCATGACTTTCTAAGAAAAAAGTATAAACTTACAGAAAAGTTAGACGTCTATACTAATGAGCATAAATGTATCTATTACCAGTCATTGTCTTTAAGAAAAAATAAATACCTAGCATTGCTATGAGAGATACTTAAAATTTTTATTTAAATTCAAATCTGTCACCTAATTTATTTCCAACTTCACTAAATGTGAAGCCCAGATCTAGGCTGATAAATAAGTTTACATAAAGAATATAGTTAATTCTTCAAGTTTATAAAGTCCACAATTTCAGCATAAAAGAGGA